ACTGGGACCTTCGGCGGAGCTCCTATGGGGCCACGAAGCGTGTGCGGGGTGTGCCGAAATGAATTGCGGGGGCGCGTGCGAACTGTGCCACTGGGACCTTCGGCGGAGCTCCTATGGGGCCACGAAACGTGTGAGGGGTGTGCCGAAATCAGTGGTGGGGACGCATGCGAACTGTGCAACTGGGACCTTCGGCGGAGCTCCTATGGGGCCACGAAACGTGTGAGGAGTGTGCCGGAATGAGTGGCGGGGACGCATGCGGACTGTGCCACTGGGACCTTCGGCGGGGCTCCTATGGGGCCACGAAACGTATGAGAGGTGTGCCGACATGAGTGGCGGTAGCGCATGCGAACTGTGCCACTGGGACCTTCGACGGAGCTCCTATGGGGCCACGAAACGTGTGAGGGGTGTGCCGGAAAGAGTGGCGGGGACGCATGCGAACTGCGCCAGTGGGACCTTCAGCGGAGCTCCTATGAGGCCACGAAACGTGTGAGGGGTGTGCCGAAATGAGTGGCGGGGACGCGTGCGAACTGTGCCACTGGGACCTTCAGCGCAACTCCTATGGGGCCATGAAGAGTGTGAGGGGTGTTCCGAAATGAGTTGCGGTAACGCATGAGAACTGTGCCACTGGGACCTTCGGCGGGGCTCTGATGGGGCCACGAAACGTGAGGGGTGTGCCGACATGAGTGGCGGGAACGCATGCGAACTGTGCCACTGGGACCTTCGGCGGAGCTCCCTATCAGGCCACGAAACGTGTGAGGGATGTGCCGAAATAAGTGGCGGGGACGCATGCGAACTGTGCCACTGGGACCTTCGGCGGACTCCTATGGGGCCACGAAACGTGTGAGGGGTGTGTGGCGGGGACGCATGCGGACTGTGCCACTGGGACCTTCGACGGAGCTCCTATGGGGCCACGAAACGTGTGAGGGGTGTGCCGGAAAGAGTGGCGGGGACGCATGCGAACTGTGCCACTGGGACCTTCGGCGGAGCTCCTATGGGGCCACGAAACGTGTGAGGGGTGTGCCGAAATGAGTGGCGGGGACGCATGCGGACTGTGCCACTGGGACCTTCGGCGGAGCTCCCTATGGGGCAACGAAACGTGTGATGATTTCGATGATGTTGATGTTTTTTTTGATGATGATGATGATGATGATGATGATGATGATGATGATGATGATGATGATGATGATGATGATGATGATGATAACGACGATGACGATAATGATGATGATGATGCTGCTGCTGATGATGATGATGCTGCTGCTGATGATGATGCTGATGCTGATGCTGATGCTGATGATGATGATGATGATGATGATGATGATGATGATGATGATGCTGATGATGATGATGATGATGATGATGATGATGATGATGATGATGATGATGATGATGATGAGGGGAAGGGAGGAGGGAGGAGGAGGAAACGCGGGGACCGTCTCTTCAAAACGAGGACCCAACAACACAGGTTGGTTGGGAAGAAATGAGAAAGGATGGTGAGGGGAAAGGAAGAGGAGGACGAGAGGAAGGAGGAGGAGAGGAGGAGGGTGGAAGGAGGAGGGAGGGAGGGGGTGAGGGGAGGGAGAGGGAATCCTCAAACGAACACCCTGTGACTGCACTGGGGGCGACCTCCATGGTATCCGCCGACATGGTCTCTTCAATCCGCGGCGGGCGAACCGCCCGCGGTATCCGCCGACCGCCGGAGATCTGGGCCACTCTGCGCGCCGCCCAGGCTGCTGCAGCGCAGGAGGCGCCGGCACCGCCCAGATCAGCGCCGCGCCGCCGAGCAGGCAGGCGCCGCGGCGGCGGCGGGGCCAGAAAGCCGCGCGCATGTGGCCTCGCCGCCTCGGTGGCGCGCAATCGGCTCGACGATCCTCAGAGCGGGTGCCAGCGAAAAATAGCACGGCGGCGGTGTGTGGTTTCATGGTTGTCGGGCGTCTTCGTGGGCCCTTGGGGGTTTTCTGTTCTCGGGAGGCTTCCCAGCAACTGCGCCTGGTCGAGGCGTTCTGGGGGGCGCCTGGATGGTCCCGATCGGCCGGAGGCCCACGTTATGGCCCGACAACCTAGCAACCTCGCGTCGCGAAAAGCACGACAGACGGTTTCCCACCATTGTCGGCCTTCGGTGGGCCCGCCGTCCAGTCGCGACGTCGTTGTGCGCTGTGCCTGTCCACTACAGTCCCTCAGCTCTCCGCGGGGCGGTGTGAATAAGGGTCCGTGGGGCTGTAGCTGACGGCGCCCAGGAAGGGGTGGTGGTGCGAGAAGGGCAACCTTCTAAAAAGGCGGGGAGGGGGCCTTCTGAGAAGGCAGGACGGGCCGTCTCGGAAAGGCCTGGGGGCTCCTCAGAGGCCGGGCGGGGTCCTGAGAAGCCCCCGTGCCTTGTGCAAGGCCCTGCCGCCATCCCAGAAGCCTCCTCCCCTCGCGCCATTGGTGGGCGCCGCCAGTCATCGACTGGGGCAGGAAGAAGCCGCGAGGGCAGCGGGCCTCGGCCCTCATCCCTCGTGTTCGTCCTCGTCCTCCTCCCTCGTCCTCCGCCCTCGGCCTCGTCCCCCCTCCGTACTCGTCCTCGTCGTCGTCCTCGTCCTCTCCGCTTTGTTCTCGCATTCAGGCTGGCGAAACCGAGGCACAATGATGCGTCGCCCATGTCTCGGTCGGGCCCCCGAGTTCGGTACTGTTGGGACACCGTGTGCCGCTCAGAGCCCAGGTTCTCGTCCTGGCCTCGACATTTGCGAACGACCAAATTGGCACTGCTTCATCTGCATGCTGGGTTCCCCTCCTCTCACGAGCGGCGAATGCATCCATATCCATGCCCTCGCTGTCTGGATTCCGAAGCAGCGAGACAAACGCGGAAATGCTCCGCGCGGGGCATCTGCGAAATTACCCTGGCAAAGCAACCTAACAGCGATGTGTAGGAGCATATCTGGAAGCATTCCCCTTAAGATGCATATGATAATCCAGTTGTAGAATTCTGCTGTTGCGCAGTCGCAGTCGCATTCGCGATGACAGTCGCAGCGGTAACGGCAGTCACAGTCACAGCCTCAGCCTCAGCCTGCCTCAGCTTCAGCCTGCCTCAGCCTCAGCCTCAGCCTGCTTCAGCCTCAGCCTCAGTCTGCCCTCAGCCTCGGCCTCGGCCTCAGCCTGCCTCAGCCTCACCCTGCCTCAGCCTCAGCCCCAGCCTCAGCCTGCCTCAGCCTCAGCCTGCCTCAGCCTCAACCTCAGCCTGCCTCAGCATCAGCCTCAGCCTGCTTCAGCCTGAGCCTCAGTCTGCCTTCAGCCTCGGCCTCGGCCTCAGCCTGCGTTAGCCTCAGCCTGCATCAGCCTCAACCTCAGCCTCAGCCTGCCTCAGCCTCAGCCTGCCTCAGCCTCAGCCTCAGCCTGCCTCAGCCTCAGCCTCAGCCTGCTTCAGCCTCAGCCTCAGCCTGCCTTCAACCTCGGCCTGCCTCAGCCTGGTTCGGCCTCAGCCTGCATCAGCCTGAGCCTCAGCCTCAGCCTGCCTCAGCATCAGCCTGCTTCAGCCTCAGCCTCACCCTCAGCCTCAGCCTGCTTCAGCCTCAGCTTCAGTCTGCCTTCAGCCTCGGCCTCAGCCTGCCTCAGCCTCAGCCTGCCTCAGCCTCAGCCTCAGCCTGCCTCAGCATTCAATCGCGTGCTCGACGAGCGTTTGCAGAAGACCTCTCAACGCAGCACGCTGAGGAGCAGCGCTGTTCCCTGCCACGGGCTGAGGAGCACCGCTGTTCAATGCAGCAGGGTCAGGAGCACCGCCGCCAGACCGATAACTATCAGCATGTCCTGGTATTAAACATTAAACCAAAAAGGCTACGGGGACGATGATGATGATGATGATGATGATGATGATGAAGATGATGATGATGATGATGATGATGATGATGCTGATGATGAAGATAATGAGTCTTGGAAGTCCGGGAAGTGGAAAAGCACGAAGTGGCGTACAGTTGGCTCCGGGCATTCAACATGTAGCCCGGGAGTGTAGTTCTGGGAAGTGGAAGAGCACGAAGTGGCCTACAGCTGGCTCCGGGCATTCAAAATGTAGCCCGGGAGTGGTGTTCTGGGAACGCCAAGAGCACGAAGTGGCCTACAGTTGGCTCCGGGCATCCAAAATGTGGCCTGGGAGTGGAGTTCTGGGAAGTCGAAGAACACAAAGTGGCCTACAGCTGGCTCCGGGCATCCAAAATGTGGCCCGGGAATGGAGTTCTGGGAAGTCGAAGAGCACGAAGTGGCCTACAGTTGGCTCCGGGCATTCAAAATGTGGCCCGGGAATGGAGTTCTGGGAGGTCGAAGAGCACGAAGTGTGTGACTGTTTGATTAAAGCGAGCCCGGTTCTCGCCTGTCTGGCTCCCGCCCAGACCCCCTCTGGGGAGTCATCAGATGTTCTGTTTTGACCCCATTAGAAACCTATCAGTCTTCGCTGTTAGGTAAAAGCGCGCCGTATCCGCGGGGTCGCGGCCCAGGGGCCCAGGGGCGGCGACGAGGCACGTTATCGGCGCATGTGAACTGACTTCGGCCTGGGCAGAGCTCAGCCTAGCCGAAATCCGCTGACCGAGTTTCGCCTGGCCGAATAGTTCCCTTGTCCAGAGGGGGTCCGTGAACTGTAGCCATGACTCGGCTACACACACAGACGAGTGACCCAATGCAAGAATGACCTTCAATGCTGCATAGCGGAACCCTTGGGGGAGGGAAAGGGGTAGACGGAAGCGCGCAGGCCAGCGCCAAGAGATGGACCCTGTGGGACCGCACCAAAGGTCACTCTGGCGAAGAGTCACACTTCCCAGAGATCCGACGCTGCCAAAAAACTGCAACATCGCACATAAAAAACACGACACGAACCACACACCCCATGTTTCTACGGCATGCTTCGAGCCGCATCGATCTGCGAGGGGCGCAGGGCCCGAAACATAATAGAATGGCCGGTTGTGACAAAATTCCGACGCCAGGACCTCGGGGTTGCGCGTGGCCGACCGACCCCAGCGGAGCGCGCCCCGGCGAAGGTCCGCGGCGGCGAAGCTGGCGATGACCTCGAGATTGTCGGGCTTCACCACAACCACCTTCCCGACCTGCGGCCGCGCGAGCCGCTCGGCGGCGGCCTGGCCTCCCCGCTCCCCCTTTCTCGGGTGCTGCCACGGATGTCCGTGGCCCAGCCCCTGACCTCCGACCAAAAGTGATCCTGGCAAAGGACCCAACCATATGCAAGTGTGAGTGCCGCAGTTTTGAACGCATTCCCTGGTGGCGATCCCTGTGGGGCCACGAAGCGTGTGAGGGGTGTGCCGACATGGGTGGCGCGGACGCAAGTGGACACCGCCACTGGGGCCTTCGGTGGAGCTCCCTGTGGGGCCACGATACCTGTGAGGGGTGTGCCGACATGGGTGGCGCGGCCGCATGTGGACACCGCCGCTGCTTCGGTGGACCTCCCTGTGGGGCCACGAAACGTGTGAGAGTGGGCCGACACGGGTGGCGCGGACGCATGTGGACACCGCCACTGGGCCTTCGGTGAAGCTCCCTGTGGGGCCACGATACGTGTGAGGGGTGTGCCGAAATGGGTGGCGCGGACACATGTGGACACCGCCACTGGGCCTTCGGTGGACTGCCCTGTGGGGCCACGAAACGTGTGAGGGGTGTGACGAAGCTGATGGAGATGATGGTGACGATGACAGCGATGATGACGACGATAATGGTGATGATGACGATGACGATGACGACGACGACGACGATGATGATGATGATGATGATGATGATGATGATGATGATGATAATGATGATGATGCTGATGCTGATGATGATGATGATGGTGATGGTGATGATGATGATGCTGATGCTGATGATGATGATGATGATGCTGATGATGATGGTGATTACGATTATGCCGATTGCGACGACGCCGACGATAATGATGATGCTGATGACGATGATGATGGAGGGAGGAAGGAGTGGACGCGGAGCGATGTCTCTTCAAAGAGAGGACCCAACACCACATGATGGTTGGGAAACCACATCAAGACGATTAATTCGAATTGTGAGTCAGGCGTATGAAAAGTCAAGATGGATCGATGGGTATGCCTGGAAGGCATGTGTTAGCACGCTGGAAGGTCAGGGAAGGCACCCCCCGGCTTTTCAAGCCAATTCATGCGAAATGGGGCAATTGGTGATTTGGCTTGGCGTGTCGTTGAGATCACGTGATGTTAGCTTCTGGGCGTGCCAGTTCCGAGTTCCTTGTGGACTTGACACGTCGGAGAAGCGCGTCGTTGCATGCGAATAGTATGACGTCCTAGCAGTGGAATAGCACCATACTAACATCCGAAATCTTGATCACTCGATGGGGGAGAGAATGTCGAAACAAAAAAACGCTAAATTAGCCAGCAAACAAACAAACTCGTTGCCAGCGATGCGTGTTGTGTTGATGTGGATCGCCAATCGTGGCGACGCAATGTTCGACATGTTGGACGGTGCGTTGCGAAACGTGTTGTTGATATGTGTGGTTGCATGGTGTGCACAGGAACCCCTGCTCAGATCGTACACGTTGCAATGCAATATCAGGCGCTGCTGTTCTTGTGAATGGAACTTCGCCGCGCGGTTCAAAACCAGGCACTGCTCTATCCCATTAAATGAGGAAGGACAGTGGCAAATGCAATTCGTGGATGTAGGAACGGGCGCGCGCACGGTTCTAACTCAGCTCGCCCCCAGCGCAACACGCAAACAAAAACCTGGGTCGATCCGTACTAAAAAACGGTTTCGAAAGAAACTGCGCGATGCACTACAGAAAAAGATCTGTGTGTCGAATGCGTCGGCGACTCTGTGCGAAAATCATAGAAGCGTTCCGGTGAAATCGATGCCGGACGAGCAGCGAAGGAGGAGCAGGCGATCGGGCACAGTCCATGCTCCTAGACATGCCCCTCGTCCTACACCTGCCCCCCTGCTCCTACACAGGTCCCCTCTATTAGACAGGGCCGTACCCCAAGCTGATTAAAATCGAGGTCCTTGATGCTAGACGCGCCTCTCCCCGTTCGCAGGGCCCTTTCGTTGCGCAGCATCTGCTGTTAGACAAGGCCCCGCCAAGCTGATTGCCTCCTTGGTCTGGTGCTACACATGCTCCTCCTCCTCCTCATCCTCCTCCGACTGCACGGCTCCCTCTATTAGACGTGGGCCCTCCCCAAGGTCATGTAACGCGAAACTCCCTGGTACTGGACGTGCCCGGCTTGCCCCGTCGTGGGAGACTTCCGAATCCCACCAGCCCTCTGGGCGTCGGTGGTCTAGAGAGTTTCCTCTTCCAACCCCCTTCTTCCCCATCGGGGAGGGGGTCACCCCTCCCCCTACCCCCTCCCCTGAACCTGGACGGGGGGTCCGCGGGTCAGTGGGGCGTCCAAGATGGCCCAAGACGGCTCCAAGAGCGAAAAGGCGAGAAAGCAAAACAACATTGATTTCCTTAGGTTTTGGAAGGATTTTTGCCTCTTTTGGGGCCCAAGAGGCGATTCGAGGCACTAGAGGGGCAACGCTAATTGGCCACCCTCCCTTCTGTGATAGATCTCCTCCAACATGGCCCCCAAAGCGCCCCGAAGGCTCCCAAGAGCGCCCCAAGAGCGCCCCAAGAGCGCCCCAAGAGGCCCCAATATGCGCCCAAGAGGCCTCCAAGAGGCTCCCAAGAGACCCCCAAAAAGGCCCCAAGAGGCTCCCCGAGATACGCAATAGGCCCCCGGGACCGCCAAAAAGCCCCAAAGACGGCCCCTGAGGCCCCCAAGCTCGCCAGTGTCTTCCTCCTCCTCCTCCTCCTCCTCCTCCTCCTCCTCCTCCTCCTCCTCTGTTTCTTCCTCCTCCCTCCTCCCCCTCCGTCTTCTCTCCTCCTCCTCCTCCTCCTCTCCTTTTCCTCCTCCTCCCTCCTCCTCCTCCTCCTCCTCCTCCCTTGTCCTTCGCCAGCTTCTCGTCCTCCACGTCGTCGCCCTCCTCCATCTCTTCCTCCTCCTCCTCATGTTCCTCCTCTTCCTCCGCCTCCTCCTCCTCCTCCTCTTCCTCCTCCTCCTCCTCCTCCTCCTCCTCATCATCATCATCTTCGTACTCCTCCTCCTCCTGCGCCTCCTCCTGCTCCTCCTCCTGTTCCTCCTCTTCCTCCTCCTACTCCGACGACGACGACGACTCCTCCTACATCATCCCCCTCTTGGGGCATATGGCGGCTTACCCCGCCCTTTGTTCGTCTGCATGCTCCCCCGCTTCCCTCATCACCTCCAATCCCCTGGGACTCATTTCTGGACGGGTTGGTGGGGATACTTTTTTGGGGGGTCAGCGGCCACGAGACGACGGTCAGGTGGCAAAGGCGACGTCCGAGCCACGGGCGAGGCTTAGTTGCTAGACGGAGCGCTGCCGGCCAAACTTGGCTGACAAACTGCTAGCACGGGCACGCGCACTGAACAAAATGACCAGAATTCGAAAGTCCAACGCATGAAGGCGCAGAATCCCTTACCAAAATGGGCAGGTCGCTGTGCCCGGTGAAAATGGGAAGGCCCCGAAGTGAGTCGCCGATGTGGCGCCAGACTTCAACGGTCGACCTGCGTAAGCCAGCCGGCTGAGCTGTCGAGAACAGTATACAGCGCGCGACAGCTGAAGGGGGTCCGAAAGCTGCACAGGCGCTAAAGGCTGTCCCACTCAGCGCCCAGGCCAGTCCCAGCGATCCGCATCACAGTGTCGGGGGGGGGGGGGCCGTGCGACTGTGATCCAAACAGCGCGCGCCTGCACGGCGCGGCCACTGGATGTGAGGGAGCCCGCTGGCGTGGTGAGCATCGCCGGCGGAAAAGAAGAGAAAGGGGGGGCTGCACGAGCGGTGGTGGGGCCGACCGCGTTGCCGTCAAGCGAGGCGCCAGGGGGAGCTGCACTGCAGTAGGCGCTGGGATCATAACCCAGCCACACCCAGACTGCCGCATGGCACTTCCCCCAAGCCAATGCGCCAACACACACCACGAACCCCTCCTAGGCCGTAGTAACCGTTGCTGAGGGTGAGTTGGTGGGGATATTTTTTTGGTCGGCGGCCGCGCGACAACGGTCTGGCGGCAACAGGCGATGTCCGGGACGGCGGTACAAAGCTAATTGCACACAAAGCGTGCGGCGCACGTGCACTGAGCAAAATGCTCCACATTCACAAGCAGTCGCACATAGGCGCCGCCCAGTAAACCAAAGTGAACAAGCGGCCACGAGTGAGAGTGCAACGGAGTGAGCTGGTGGGGATACGCGAAGCGTTTAGAATTTGTTTACAGGCGAATAGGGCTCCCGCAGCCACCTTGACGGCGGTCTGCGGCCGATAAGGGGGATGTGCCTCATAGACACTCGGAACCCTGTCGGAAACATCTTGGGGGTCTCGTCGGGGCTTCCTAGGGGCCTCCTGGCGCCTCCTGAGCGCCTCTTGGCATCTTGGGGACCTGTTTGGGGGCGTTTTGCGTTTGGGGGCCTGTTGGCGGCCTCCGGGGTGATTTCGGAGCGTATGGCTCGAAACGGTAGCTCGAGTTCCCCCCCTTGGGTCCATCTCTTCTCCCTGTTGGGGCCATATTTGGCCAGGCGCGCGCCTCGCGCACGCGCGTAGCTTCCAGCAAGCCGCAGCCCTTGACAAGCTCTCAGGTCCACTTCAGTTGTCACCCACAACGACGTGGACCGAGCAGAGACTCAACCGATAAGGACGCTTCCGTACAATTCAATGCGAAGAAATGCAAAGCGATGAGAGAAATGCAATCGATGCAACGACAGGGCAGTGCAGCACATTGCCATGGAAACCAGATGCGGGGACAATGAATCACGAAGTCTTGCAAGCCGAAGTGAACGAAGCAAGTGCAAAGCAATGCGATGAAGTACAGTTCAAGGCAAAATAGAGCAATGTGAAGAACGGTAATGTGAAGCACCAAGCAATACACATGGACGTTCGACGCAATGCAATGCAGTGCAATCTCATACAACTCAATGCAATGCAAAGATCCTATCGAACCCCAGGACCCCTGGGAACTCAGAGATCCCAGGGGCGGGGAACCCAAGGAAGGTCCAGGGGAACCCAGGCTGAAGGTCGCAAGTGCCATCGGCTCTCTTTCGCAAACAAAAGAAAGAGGACAGAGCAACGGGTAGGAAGAGGGGGGGGACAAGCGAGGATACAGGTGAAGGCAGAAAAGAAAAGACTCAAGCAGGGGCGGCTGGAGGCAGGACGAACGGCGAACGGAGGAAGGGAAAGGAGGCAAGCGGGACCGCATAGTGTCCACCAGCCGATTTCGGCATACTCCTCACACGGATCGTGTCCCCCAGGGAGCACCACCTACGGCCCCAAACAAACGCAGGGCTCACATAGCGTCACCTGGCCAATTGCGGGACGCCCCTAGCACGGATCGCGTTCCTTTGGCAGCTGCACTGTCGGTGCCAGAGGCACAGCTCGCATGACGCCCATCCGCCCATTTCGCCGCATCCTTAAGACGGAACCTGCCCCTCTGAGAGTTTCACGCCCCGCGCCACTAGGAGAATTCGCACAGCATCCCCCCCGCGTATGTCGACTCACCCCTCAAACGGATCGTGTCCCACAAGGAGCTCAACAGGCACAACCAGAGACAAGATTCGCACCCGCTCCACCCATAGCGGGACACCCCTGGCAGGGATCGTTGCCCAGAGGGACGGCCCCAAATAGAAGGTTTGCATGGCGTCTTCATGCCTATTCCGGCACACACACACACACGGATCGCGCCGCATAGGGAGCTCCACCGACGGCTCCAACAGGAGGGGTCGGATGGCGTCCCTGCGCATATTTCGGCGCAGCCCCGACGCGGATCGTACCTCGCAAAGATCTTCATCTGGCCTCAGTGGGCGCGCTCGCGCGGCACCCACCCCCTTCGCGCGCATCGCGCCCCACATGGACTTTTGATTTTCTTTTTTTGCGTTGGAAGCTAGGCAGAAGATGACTGCGTCAGCGATGAGATGTTTGAACGGGGATGCTGTTAGAGCGAATTGTGCCACCATGCAAAGAGGAGGAGCGAGGAGAGGGAGATAAGCTACTGCACATGACATTACATGAAGAGGAGGGGCGGCAACCCGCGGCCCCTCGAAACGGCCCGAGGAGAGTCTGACAGATTAGGGTACTCTCCCGACCGAATTCTGGCGATGCTCTGCTTGGGAGTCGGCCTGTATGCCTTCACAGACTGGCGGGCACCGGTGCTGCAACTCTTGAGGCGAGTGCTGCAGAAAGTGAGGCAATCCTACCCCGGCAATGCAAAGGTTGGCCTTGGCCTATACGAGGGGGGGAAATCCTCAGGGGGAAGCGGATACGCAGCGGGTCTCGCATGTCCACAACACGGTTGGATGTGGGGCTACGAATACAGTGCCGCGAGAGAGTATCGCCTGCCACTACTGCAGGCGTGAGCGACGCGACCCGTTGCATGGACAGGTCAACGCCCCAATCAAGCAGCGGGACGCACCCACGGGGCGTCCGCTGGACAGAAGGGGGAAGGGGAGAGGGAGGCCGACGACGACAGAGAGGGAGGCCGCCCCACATGGAGCTCAGCGTGTCTACACACGCTAGCTCCGCAGCGACCCCCTATGCGGACTACCTCGCAGCGAGCAGTATTTGAAGAGAGAGCCGCGCCCTGCGCTGCACACAGCTGCATAGAGGTGGGCCCTTCGCCAGGCCAAGTGCACTCACTGTCCTCTTACATGCACAGATACATGAACAGAGACATACAATCGTGCATGCATACGTACATGCGTCCATACGTTCATACATACACACACATACACATACACAAACACATAGACAAAACACCTGTTCTGATCAGGCGGCGCCGCAGGAACGGGCCTGGGTTGTGGACCAGAGGCCTCTCGTAGATCTATATTAGCATGTCTCAGGAAGCCTCTCAGAGGCCCTCCTGGGGCCTCTTGGAGGCCTCTTCGGGGCTTTGGGGGGCCCCTTAGGGCCTCTTGCTCGAAATTTCGGTTGGAGTTCCTAGTCTTGAGCTCCTCTTGGGGTGTTTTGGGGGCTGGTTTGAGCCGTCTTGGGCGCCTTTCGGACCGTCTTGGAACTCTCTTCGGCAATCTTGGGGCCCTCATGGGCCGTCTTGGGGCGATCTTGGAGGCCTCTGAGTGCGTCAAGGACGATATGAGGACCAAAAAAGCAAACATGCGAAATTCATGAGTTCTACAAACAGACAAGGAACGTCGCGATATTCGCAATCGAGGCCCTCTTGGGGACCTCTTGGAGGGATCGTCAAGCGGCTTGGACGCCTCAGGGGCTGTTCGAGACGCCTCGTGAGCCGTCGGACACACCTGGAGGCCGTCCTGAAGGTTGTTCGCGACTGTCTTGGGGCGCAGTGACGACCGTCGGACCGCTTTCTGGTGTGCTTTTGGGACCCCCCAAGGCAGGCCCAGCCCCCGGAGAGGGAGGCCGCCCCACATGGAGTTCAGCGTGTCTACACACGCTAGCTCCGCAGCGACCCCCTATGCGGACTACCTCGCAGCGAGCAGTATTTGAAGAGAGAGCCGCGCCCTGCGCTGCACACAGCTGCATAGAGGTGGGCCCTTCGCCAGGCCAAGTGCACTCACTGTCCTCTTACATGCACAGATACATGAACAGAGACATACAATCGTGCATGCATACGTACATGCGTCCATACGTTCATACATACACACACATACACATACACAAACACATAGACAAAACACCTGTTCTGATCAGGCGGCGCCGCAGGAACGGGCCTGGGTTGTGGACCAGAGGCCTCTCGTAGATCTATATTAGCATGTCTCAGGAAGCCTCTCAGAGGCCCTCCTGGGGCCTCTTGGAGGCCTCTTCGGGGCTTTGGGGGGCCCCTTAGGGCCTCTTGCTCGAAATTTCGGTTGGAGTTCCTAGTCTTGAGCTCCTCTTGGGGTGTTTTGGGGGCTGGTTTGAGCCGTCTTGGGCGCCTTTCGGACCGTCTTGGAACTCTCTTCGGCAATCTTGGGGCCCTCATGGGCCGTCTTGGGGCGATCTTGGAGGCCTCTGAGTGCGTCAAGGACGATATGAGGACCAAAAAAGCAAACATGCGAAATTCATGAGTTCTACAAACAGACAAGGAACGTCGCGATATTCGCAATCGAGGCCCTCTTGGGGACCTCTTGGAGGGATCGTCAAGCGGCTTGGACGCCTCAGGGGCTGTTCGAGACGCCTCGTGAGCCGTCGGACACACCTGGAGGCCGTCCTGAAGGTTGTTCGCGACTGTCTTGGGGCGCAGTGACGACCGTCGGACCGCTTTCTGGTGTGCTTTTGGGACCCCCCAAGGCAGGCCCAGCCCCCGGAGAGGGAGGCCGCCCCACATGGAGTTCAGCGTGTCTACACACGCTAGCTCCGCAGCGACCCCCTATGCGGACTACCTCGCAGCGAGCAGTATTTGAAGAGAGAGCCGCGCCCTGCGCTGCACACAGCTGCATAGAGGTGGGCCCTTCGCCAGGCCAAGTGCACTCACTGTCCTCTTACATGCACAGATACATGAACAGAGACATACAATCGTGCATGCATGCGTACATGCGTCCATACGTTCATACATACACACACATACACATACACAAACACATAGACAAAACACCTGTTCTGATCAGGCGGCGCCGCAGGAACGGGCCTGGGTTGTGGACCAGAGGCCTCTCGTAGATCTATATTAGCATGTCTCAGGAAGCCTCTCAGAGGCCCTCCTGGGGCCTCTTGGAGGCCTCTTCGGGGCTTTGGGGGGCCCCTTAGGGCCTCTTGCTCGAAATTTCGGTTGGAGTTCCTAGTCTTGAGCTCCTCTTGGGGTGTTTTGGGGGCTGGTTTGAGCCGTCTTGGGCGCCTTTCGGACCGTCTTGGAACTCTCTTCGGCAATCTTGGGGCCCTCATGGGCCGTCTTGGGGCGATCTTGGAGGCCTCTGAGTGCGTCAAGGACGATATGAGGACCAAAAAAGCAAACATGCGAAATTCATGAGTTCTACAAACAGACAAGGAACGTCGCGATATTCGCAATCGAGGCCCTCTTGGGGACCTCTTGGAGGGATCGTCAAGCGGCTTGGACGCCTCAGGGGCTGTTCGAGACGCCTCGTGAGCCGTCGGACACACCTGGAGGCCGTCCTGAAGGTTGTTCGCGACTGTCTTGGGGCGCAGTGACGACCGTCGGACCGCTTTCTGGTGTGCTTTTGGGACCCCCCAAGGCAGGCCCAGCCCCCGGGTCCCCCATTTGACATAGTGGTCGTGGCCCCTGGACACCTGGGCCCGGTTCCCCGTTAGATGTATAATCGAGAGAGAAAGAGAGGTAGAGAGGTAGAGAGAGAGAGAGAGCGAGATCCTTTCTCCCGACAGCTCGCTTGGTCATCGTTTATGTACGGGCAGATGGGAATACGCGAAGCGTCAAGAGCTGGTTCCTCCCTCCTCCACCTTTTCCCTCTCCCTTGAGCTACTCGCCGCTTCTGGACCGTCGCTTCTCGTAACGAATCTAGAAGCGCGCCTTGGAACAACTGCGCCCTGCTCTCAATCCTCCTCATCCCCCTCCCTCCCCTCTGGCCACGACGAAGACGACGACGACGACGACGACGACGACGACGACGACGACGACCGCGACCACGACGGGGACGGCGACGGCGACGAAAACTACGACGACGCCGATGGCGACGGCGAAGAACGGGGACCAGACGCCGACGTCGTCGGCGGCGGCGGCGACGACGACACGCCCAAGCGGGCAGGTGAGGCCGCCCATAATCCCTCGCCCAGGCAGTTTATGCCTCCGCCCAGATCTCTCGCCTGGGAGCGGAAGGCCCGGGACGGCGCCGACGCCGACAAGGACGCCGACGCCGACGCCAACGACGGCGCCGACGACGCCCACGACGACGACGACGCCCACGACGACGACGACGACGACGACGACGACGACGACGACGACAACGACAACGACGACAAAATCGCTGCCGACGACGACAACGCCGAAAGGCGGCGGCAAAGACGACGACGGCGGCGGCGGCGACAACGAGGACGAAGACAGCGGCGGCGGCTGCAGCCCCGCCCCCCCGGTGGGCGACGCTCTGCAGGCGCACGTGCCAGCGGCTCTTCTCGGCGTCCCACTTCGTGCAGGTGCCCTGCTGGCCGTTCAGCGCGGGCGCTGCCTGCCCAGGCGTTGTCGTGGCTGGAAGTGCACGTGCTAATTCACTGCTTAACTGAGTTGTCCCACGATGCGTCCGTGGAGGCTCCGACCTTGAGGCTACTCGTTCCTGGCTGGCTCAGCGCCTTTGTTTGACCAGCTCCGACATGAGACACGGAGGCTCTGAAACAAAAAAAAGGCTGCGAGGGGGGAACGTCGGAAAGGAGGAAAAAAAACACTTCAGGCGGAAACCAAAACGTGTATAGCAAGAGCCCCCAAGCGACAGCGACACGTTCCTCAGGTGAACCTTCGCAACAAACTCATTCCTGGCAGACGTCACAGTCGGCAACGACTCGTTGGTCCGGTCTGATCGCTGCCAGCCGCGCCCAATCGATACAAACCGCGCCAGGGTCGCAGGAACCCGCAGCAATACCTGCGAGCCGCTGCAGGCCGCTGCAGGCTGCTTCGAAACGCTTCTCAGGTTGAAGCCCCAGCGAGCCCCCCAGCAACCCGTCGTGAGCTGCCGAGCACAGCAGAGAGGCCTGCGAGGCCGTGCAAAACATGAGTGCCCACTGCCTCCCTAGGAACGCAGTCGGACGTACTTGCACTCTGCGCCTCAATTGGAGGCGCACGCTTGAACAGTACAGCGCATCATTTTCCAGGCGGTATGGCCAGAAAGCGCCCTACCACCGAACGTGTACTATACCACGTCTGAGCGAGCGCGTCGCACTTTGGGGAGCCATCGCACACATACTGTAAATCTAACTGAATGGTTGCGATATCCCTTTCCACTCCCCGACCATGATGGGGTGAGGGGGAAGAGGAGGAGGCAATACAGGTGCACTCGCGCCGTAACTGTCATCCTGCCCCCTCCACCCAGCCCTGTCCCATTGCGCTGATGTTTGTTCTATCGCCGACGGGTGTCATACACAGCGGAGCTGGTGGACCCCCCCCTAAAAAAAATGATGCCGTCGAGTTAGGCGGGCTTTCGTGTTTCCAGGGCTGCGCAAACTGGAGACACGAGAGCTCGCAGTAACACCAGCAGGAGGTCACAGAAGAGGGGGCAACAGTGGGACGAAGAGTCGAGACGCTATCTCTTCGGCACGATCCGTGCCAAAATGGGTACGAGTTAGGTCCACCAGAGAGCGGCAACGACCAGAGAGAACCAAGAGCGAGCAGGCGCGGCACTTCGGTGGCAACTCATGGGAGCCTCCGATACAATGTTGCTGGCTCTTGCGAAGGAGTCGGCACAACTCGAGGCTCAAGCGACGCTAATCGACGCTACATCCGAGATATCGCATCCATTACCCGACGCTAATCGATGCCAGTGTACACGAAAGACGGAACTGAGGGTATACAAGGCTCCCGTGAGTTGCTACCGAACGGAGATGCGAAAAGTGCTACCCCAGGCATCACCAGGCGGACACACATGGAGCGTGACTTCCACTCTACCGACAGCTAAAGGGACAGCCCCCGAAGAGAACGGGACGAAGGCCGACGGCCCAGCGGAGCGGGAAGGAGCGGGAAAATGCCTAGAACATGAAGAGACATACGCTCCTCGTGCTACCCGTGGGAGCGCTGAGCGAGGCGCGAAGGAGCGTTTCTGGCCACGGCGAACCTCGGCCATGAGGGTCCCCGACCGACGCAAATCCGCGAAACGGCCCGAACACCGGAGCCGCTCCTGAACCCAAAGCGGACCTCGGCTCAGCATCGTGACCGAACCTTCGGGAAATCCGCGCGGATGTCTCCGATCGGCCTGACCCGCTGGCGGGGCCCCTGCCGCCGCCCCTGGCGCGCTCCGCGCGGCAGGGAGGACCCCAGTCCGCGCGGACCTCCGAGGGCCTGCGCTTGCTTCGAGAGTTGGCGGCACAGCGGGAATGAGGGGAGGGGGGAGGGCTTCTTAGAAGCAGGGATGCTTCGAGAAGCCCCCCCCCCCCTCCCCCCACCCCTCTCTGCGCGCCTTGGGGGGCTCGGCGCGCCCACCGGCCCCCTTGATTCGGCGGCGCGCCCGGGGGGGCGGCGGGACTGCTCAGAAGCCCCCCTCCCCCTCCCAGCCTCCTGAGCAGCTCCCATGTCGCTCCGGAGGCTCAAGATGAACAGAAGACCTCTCGAAGGGTCTCCTTCTGGGAAGCCCGGCCGAACTCTGGTTAAAATGCAGCAACTAATGGGCAGCTTCAGAATCCAGGAAACAGTTCAATTGCATGAAAAATGTAGAAAATGTGTGATGTGACATAGGTCAAAATTAGGCCGACGCAGTATGTTCTTACAAAAATAACACACATATACAAGGCCCCGAATGTAACGGCAGCGGCGGCGGCGACACGACGGCAAATCAGAGAGAATGGAAAGAAACTGCAACGGCGCAGCTGTCAGGAGAAAGTGAGTTCCAGCTGGAGAGGTTGCGTGACATCGCATGGCGAATCGCATTGAAACAAAAGGAAGCAGAAGGAGGAGGAGGAGGAGGAGGAGGAGGAGGGGAAGGATATGGACGAGGAGGAGGAGAAGAAGGAATAATAAGTTGATAGAGGAGGGCGAGGAGGAACATGAGGAGTTGGACGAGGATGACCACGGCCACGAACACGAGGAGGGGTAAAGGGAAGAGGGGAAAGAGGAGGAGGAGGAGAAGGAGGAGGGGGAAGAAAAGAGGAGGGGAATGAGGAGGAGGAGGAGGAGGAAGAGCAGGACGAGGACGAGGAGGAGGAGGAGGGGAGGGGAACATTTTTCGAGCATCCCCCACAAGTGGAAACCCTGCCGCAGCAGGCTTGCTGCATCCACGAGCACTAGCCCCCCCACCCCCGCTGATGCGGAAAGGAGTGAAGGCGCTGAGTTGGGCTTGGCGGGGATCGCTGTGGTCTTATCGCAGGCCCGCCGCAAGCGCCGATTTTGAATCCAAGCAAAAATCTACATTGATATCGCAAGCCCGCAAACGACGCTATTTCTCTATAAGAAGAAAGCGGATACTGTTTGCAAACCTGCCGCAAACGCCGATTCTGCATTGAAGCCAAAACCGGCATGAAGATGGCAAGCTCGCCGCAGGCGCCGATCTTATGATCAGGAGACGAATTCTGATTGCAAGCCCGCCGCAGGCACCGATTAAAAACTGAAGCAAGATGGCAAGCCCGCCGCAGGCGCTGATTTTTTTCACCAGAAAGTAAATTCTAGAAAACGAATTCGTGAAACAAGCCCACTGCAAGCGCCGATTTGTCATTAAAAAAGTGAATGAAATGACGACCGACGCCGATTATTTCAAGAACCGTGGGGAAATCACAAGCGCCGCAGGCGCAGGTTTTTGTCTTGCACACAAAAAGGCTTTTCCCCTCCCACGAGGCCGCGGGGGCCGCCCTATTTGGCGGCGGGGCCGGGGGGGGGGGGGGGAAGGAGGGGTGGTGTGTGGGGGGGGGGGGGGAGGGGGGAAGGAGGAGGGGTGAGGGGGAGGAGGAAGGAGGGGAGGAGGAGGGGGGAGGCGGGAGGAAGAGGCGGAGGGGGAGGGGGGGGGAAGAAGAGGGGCGGGCAGAGAAATAGCGAAAACATCGGAACAAAACGGGGAAACAAGTGCATCCCCGAAGACTTCTGCGGCGCCTTATTATTATTATTATTATTAGTATTCGTATTAGTATTATTATTATTATAAGTATTAGCATTATTATTAGTATTATTATTGTTGTTATTATTATTATTCCCAACCCTCCTGCGTTGGGTACTTGTTTTGAATAGATCACTGCGGTCTCCACCTTCCTTCCTTCCTTCATTCCTTCCTTCCTTCCCGCCTCCCGCCCCCACCTTCCTTCCTTCCTTCCTTCCTTCCCGCCTCCCGCCCCCTCCCGCCTCCTCCTCTCTTCTCTGGGGGGCTGCGATCTGCGAAACTGTCGCCACTTTCGAGGGCTGCTGGGGTGGCCAGCGGAGTGACGCCCTACGGGGATTCAGATTAGACCTCGCCATCCCTGGGGGGCTGCGATCTGTGAAACTGTCGCCACTTTCGAGGCTGCTGGGGGGCCCAGCGGAGTGACGCCCTACGGGGATTCAGATTAGACCTCGCCATCCCTGGGGGGCTGCGATCTGTGAAACTGTCGCCACTTTCGAGGGCTGCTGGGGGGCCCAGCACAGTGGGGGGGATTAGACCTCGCCATCCCTGGGGGGCTGCGATCTGTGACGAAGGCTGCTCGCCGGGGATTCCTCGCCAGGGGGGCTGCGATCTGTGAAGCTGTCGCCACTTTCGAGGCCTGCTGGGGGGCCAGTGACGCCCTACGGGGGGACCTCGCCATCCCTGGGGGGCTGCGATCTGTGAAACTGTCGCCACTTTCGAGGCCTGCTGGGGGGCCCAGCGGAGTGACGCCCCACGGGGATTCAGATTAGACCTCGCCATCCCTGGGGGGCTGCGATCTGTGAAACTGTCGCCACTTTCGAGGCTGCTGGGGGGCCCAGCGGAGTGACGCCCTACGGGGATTCAGATTAGACCTCGCCATCCCTGGGGGGCTGCGATCTGTGAAACTGTCGCCACTTTCGAGGCCTGCTGGGGGGCCCAGCGGAGTGACGCCCTACGGGGATTCAGATTAGACCTCGCCATTCCTGGGGGGCTGCGATCTGTGAAACTGTCGCCACTTTCGAGGGCTGCTGGGGGGCCCAGCGGAGTGACGCCCTACGGGGATTCAGATTAGACCTCGCCATCCCTGGGGGGCTGCGATCTGTGAAGCTGTCGCCACTTTCGAAGGCTGCGTGGGGGGCCCAGCGGAGTGACGCCCTGCGGGGACTCAGATTAGACCTCGCCATCCCTGGGGGGCTGTGATCCGCGAAACTGTCGCCACTTTCGAAGGCTGCTGGGGGGCCAGCGGCGTGACGTCCTACGGGGGCTCAGATTAGACCTCGCAGGCGCTGGGGGGCTACGATATGTGAAACTGTCGCCACTTTCGAGGCTGCTGGGGGGCCCAGCGCAGTGGGCACCCACGGCGGATTCAAATGGGATCGCCATCCCTGGGGGGCTGCGATCTGTGAAACTGTCGCCACTTTCGAGGCCTGCTGGGGGGCCCA